CCCCCTGATATTTCAAGTACTCACCTAGCCCCATACATAGTTATTACAATATTATTGACTATATTTCCTATGCCATAATTTACACCCCTGTGACTGTTCTGTAACTATCAATTTGTACTTCTTAATCCCTTCACCTTTTCTCCCAGTCTTGCAAACTCCTTCTCTCTGGCAACCATCAGTATGTTCTCTGCATTTATGAGTTTGTTTTCATTTTACTTATTTGTTTATTTTATTCTTTAGATTCCCCATATAAGAGAAATCATATGGTATTTGTCTTCCTCTGTCTGACTTATTTCACTTAGCATAGTATTTAATGGCATAAACTCTGTAGATAGGACACCTAGGTTTAAAGGCTTATTAGCTATGGGATGCCAGAAAAGTTACTTAACTCCTCTGTGCCTCAAATTCCTAATTTATTAAATTGGTGCAATAATAGCACTTATCTCATGGAATTTAAGTGAATGGTAATGTGGTCACCACCATATCTAACATAGTCAACTTTCAAAATGTTGTGACTGTGATTCTTTTCTTAAAGATGACTACTCTTAAGTTTGAATAATGTTTATTATCTCTATAGAATGTACTGTGCTTTGCATATTATCTTTGTGTCTCATTTACTTTTCCAACTACTCATATTTTACAAATAAAGATATTGAAGTTGAGAGTGTATTAGTAGCAAGTCCAAGGTTTCAACACTAGGTATTCTGCCTAGACTCAGCTAACCTCAACCTTAGTTTTTTTCTCTCTCTGCCCACTGCTTCTTTGATTAGACAAATGGACGAAGTTTGGTAATGTCTTAGAGATGGTGTGTATAGTATTCCCAGAGGACACAGAGCTGTACTCCCCCAGCATGGGATCAGAGCACCTTTGTTCTCAGTCAACACACAGACTGAATCAGGACTGCATGTACTGGCCAAGTATTATCCCAGGAGAAAGGTTGTTGTTCACTCCACATTCTCTGATCAATTTATGCAACTCCAATAAGCCACTGCTTTGGACAGTGATTCTCTTACTCTGGCTAAAAGGAAGATCAGTCTGGGAGATGTATTTATGCCAAAAGGAGAATAATGAGTTTAATCTCTCCTTCCCACTACCACTTCCATCTAACACATACAATGCAAGTTTGTAAGATAGGTCCCTTTCTTTTTAATCAAAGTAAATCTAACCTTGTTAAATCATTCATTTGATAAGAAACAATCCCAGTCTTAATTGTATTTCCCAAGGCAGTACAAGTCTAAGAGGTACCTGGTTGATGGTGCTTGGAAGGTAGAAGAAGGACCTCCAGCCTCTTGTCCATTATGCTTCCCATGGACATCCTCATTGTCAAAGCCCACAGTGTCTAAAAGGCCAGAGGGTCCTCCCTCTGGACTGCACGTATAAAGTAGGAATCTTTGCCAAGGTAAAAAGCAATTCAGCATCCCTAGATTCATCATGTGGCCATCCCCTTCCATGTCTTGCTTCCCCAAGGCATCAACATTTTTAAGTGGCAGGACATTCTTGCTTCTTCTACTCCAGTTCTTACCTATTTTCCAACTTGTTTTATAGTCTTAAAATATCATTCCTTCTCCCTTTTAATTATCCTTGTTTGTTTCAAAGTTACTCCCTTTGCCTCAAAGGCAATAATCACATCTTCAATAAGCTCAATTTTTGCAGGCAAAAAACATTTAACAAAATTGTCCAGTATCTAACGTTAAGTAAAAATTAGCATGCCACAAAACTGTTGACGCCAATGAAAAAGTTTCATGTAAAAATTATATACAAATTTACATATTGAAAATAAAAACTAGAAAAAATACATTGAGATGCAAAGACTAGTAGCATAGGAAAGTGAAAGATATAACAGGAACACAGAAGAAGAAGCACTAACTCGACCTGAGGAGGTTATGGAGTGTCCTGGTTGTGGTTTCGACACCATGCTCAGTCACTGGCTGGAAGCATGCCTGAGGAGCATGTGACTCAGCTTTAACTCTGCAGAAGATCCAAAGGTATGGCCGATGGAGACAGCCATACAACAGATGTCTTTGCTGTTGGTTCTCCTAGGATGTAAGCCAGTGATGGAGAACCTTTTGAGCTCAGCGTGTCAGCATTTTGAAAAACCCTAACTTAACTCTGGTGCCGTGTCACATATAGAAATTTTTTGATATTTGCAACCATAGTAAAACAAAGACTTATATTTTTGATATTTATTTTATATATTTAAATGCCATTTAGCAAAGAAAAATTAACCAAAAAAATGAGTTCGCATGTCACCTCTGACACGTGTGTCATAGTTTCGCCATCACTGATCTAAGCAATGCACCTTCACTGCCTTCTACAGTCCACCCCTTGCTTGCACTGCAAAGATCCACACATCTACACATGTTCAGGAGCAGCTCCTTTATGGTTCTGTGGACTTCTCCAACCGACTGGAAATTTAAAAGAGGGAAGTTCGTGGGATGAAGTATAGCACACATTGCTGCAGTTGGTCTCAGGGCCACAAAAGGACTCATCTTTCCCCTCCTCCACTATTTGTTCTAAATTTCTCTCTAAGTCAACCATGACCTCTGCAGGTTGGGGATTTACCAAGTAGTGTGACCTAAACCCTCATTCTTGAATGGTCTGGGCCCTTAGTAGTAGTAGTACCCTTCTTAGGCCATGGTTGCTGCATGTGCTACAATTACAGTTGATGTGGGAGTTACAATTGGCATGAGTAGTTACAGTTGCTGTGGGAGAACCAAGAGATGTCCAGTTGGATCACCTGGACCCTACCGGTGTTATAACCTACCCTCATTACGTATAAGCAGCCCAACTTCCTCCTGTTGATCAGAGGCAATCATTTCTCCCCAAATAGTGACCCTTCTTCTCATCCATGGTCCCTATACACAAGGAACCAAAGTTCAATCAAAGCTGTACTTCAACAGGATTCTTATGTCCCCTGGCAAGCATGTGCTCCCTTAACAGATCAGGATCACTGAACCTGAATAGCTTAGAGTTGTTAGGTCAGAAAACACAAAATCTGCCTTGGTTGTCGGCAGGGAGGAGAGGGGGCACTATTTCATTTCACTGTTGTTATGGACTGATGCTGGGTCCAACTAATTCTTATGATTTAATTTCAGCAAAACTCTAATAGTAGCTCTGGATACATGGTCACACTGTACTCCAGGGTCAAGTAGTCTGTTTCAATGGGGACCCACTGGATCCCAGAAGTTATTACTAGAAAATTAAATTCCAAGTAAGGAAATTTTTGTTTACTCAATCTTATTTGTGGATCCCTTGATCGAGCACCTCTAAATTCCAATCCCAGGCATATTGCCTTGTCTCCTGTAGTGTATTCTTGCAGCTCTTTTGGGATATAATCTTCCCTGTCTTATCAGGTTCATTCCATCTCCAACCAAGTTATGCTGGGATTCAATCTAAGTATAGGCCTGGAGGTAAATGTTCTGAGGAGTCACCTGTTGACTTGCAGGGATGAGAAGTGTGTATGGTCTTTTCATACTTTGGAAGCTCAAGCTCTTATTAGGGACCCTCATTAAGTCTGGGTTCTAAGCCAAATTTCTTAGGGTATCAGCTCCCAGTTTCAGTGATGCCCGGTTTTCCCAACCAGTGCCCTGACCTTAGCATAACAGATATTTCGAGACTGAGCATTTAAATTTCCCTGGAGCTCTGCAATTCTAGCTGTTAAGGTCTGAGCTTGCTCCTCAGCGGTGCTCATTCTTCCACAGCAAGAAATCAGGGCCAAGAGGCCTGGCAGTTCTCACACAGAGTCTTTAAAGTTTTTAACTACTCTCATTTTTTTCATGATCCTTCTGCTAAGCATCAGTGCAACTTATTCATAACCAGCAACTCTCTATCCTTCCAGATAACATTCCAGCTACATTTTTCAAATGCCTGAATCAGCTCATCAACAAGGTTATTCCTATCCAGCAGGACTTCTCACCAGATCAGCACTGGCGAAAGTTTTAGCCATTGGCCTGTCACCTTGTGCCAGGAGTTTCCATGCCCCATCGTCAATGGGATGGAGTCCTTTTTGCCAGCTGGGTGGTGGGAGTGAGCCAGTTCTCAAGCCCCATTTTACAACCTGCTTTGTTGGGCCATTGCTAATATCGCTGATATAATTCTCCAGGAAGATGGCAAAATTGAATTAGGCATGCAAGAGATTTATTGGGAGAAAATTCTTGCAAAAATAAAAGAGGTAGCAGGGAAGGAGTGGGCAGAGAAAGCAATGATAGGGACATTCTGGGACAGGTACTGTGAGGGACCCTGCCCTGGCTGTGGAGGAAGTTCTCCAACTAAACCTAGTTCTGCTTTCTGGGAAGAACTCCCTCATCCATGAAGTTCCATGGACATTGACTTGATTCTCGATTAAGGTCTTTTTTTGACTATGACCTCCCATATCACATATGAAATGACTACTAGGGATGATGCCTTTCCTGCGTGATAGCTTTTCTACAAGTCTGGGAGCCCAGAATTTGTTACTTAAACTTTCACAAACTTTTTCAAAATAGGCTCATGATTTCTTTGGCAACACAATTCCCTAAAAATACTTAATAAGTTCCAGAAATATTTGTTTCATTATCCATAAGTTGTTTCCTGGACATAACATGTATGTTTATATTGTCTCCTTGCTCTCTTGCCCTATGCCTCTCTCTTACTTTTGTTGGCCTCCACTGAGGCCAGCTGAATATAGGCTTCCCTGAGAAGTCCATATTTCAATCCACTCTTTCGCAGCAGGGCTGGGTCCTTTTGTTTGACTGAAAAGTCTTATGGGAGACATTTAAGCAACAAAATTTTTCTCTCCTGCTATTTGAGGTACAGAAGCTTTTCCAAAACTGCAAGGCCTTAAATTCTTTTAACTTCTGCTAGAAAACCTATCAATTCTTGACAAAGTTCTTGTTTTTTTTTTCATGTTACCTTGCTAAAAGCACCAAGGAGCAGCTAACACAGGAAATTTTTCCTTTTTCTAATGCTTCCCTATTAAGCACTCACCCTGCTTTCCAATTTATCATAGGCAATTGACTTACCGAAAATTTTCCCACAACATCCAAGGATTCCAGGTTTCAAGCTTAACTGCTAATCCAATGCCACAGAATCTGATTTCCAGGTACCAATTCAAGGTAATAGTAAGGCTGATCTAAATTGTTGACAAAAGAATAAAAACAATTAAGTGACTTAAGGACAATGGAAGTTTCTCATGAAAAATTCTAGTGAGGGAGTTTCAGGTCAATTGGCAATTGATAGTAGCTCTACCATCTTCAACATCTGACTTCCAAAGTGGCTCTGAGTATCCACATTTCAAGCCTAAAGAACATGGAGGCACACACATAGAAGTCTAAAACAGGCATGTGTTACTTCTATTCATATCACAGTTGGGGGAATTTTGTCATGTGAGATAATTCTAAGGGCCTTGGGAATGTACTGCTACAATCATAGCTAACTACAATTCTGTTAGTATGAAAAAAGGTGAGAATGGATTCCAATTGACAGCTAACTCTAACCTTTCTTCTGAGTGTCAGGTATTTCAAATTGTTTCTTCTAAAACTCAACATGTCTAGAACAGAACTCATTATTTCCTCCCATATTCAGCTCTTCATCTTGCCTTTTCTATATCTCTCAATGGCATTGTCATTCTTGGAGTGATCGTTGGCTCTTTCCTGTCTCTCATTACCCATATCTAACTGGTTGCCAAAAAATGATTTTTTTCTCCTTGGTTGGTGCCCTCCACATCTGTCTCCTCTTGCTGTCTTCATATCACCAATTAGGTCAGTCAGTCTTCATTACTACTTACCTCAACTATTGTGGTGACCTCCTGAGTTGTCTGCACAGTTCCAAATGTTCCCCCATTTTCCATATAACCTTATGAATTAATCTTCCCAAAGCATATCTCTGAACTATCATTTTTACGTTTGATGGTTCCTCAGAGCCTACACAAAATTAAATACAAATTAGCTTGTTATCCAATCTGTATAGTCTTATCTTCCACAATGATGGCTTTTCCAGCAAACTTTCCAAAAAGGATTAGCTGCCAACCCCCAAATACATACTGTTTTCCCACTTTCTAGCTTTTGCTAACTCAGTTATACACTTTGAAACTCACTTTCCCCTTATTTCTAAGAATAGAATAGGATTTAACACAGGTTCTAGAGACCTGATTTCTAATCTCAGCCCCACCTCTTGCTAGCTCAGCCCCCCTTAAGTCATTTAATATCTCTGAGCCCTGTTTCATCTTTTCTACAACAAGGATAAAAACACCCACTTCACAGGGCTGTTATCAGGAATAAATACAATAATTTCAATAATGTATCTACATAGTATAATCAGTGTTCATAAAAGTCAATTTGTTTTCTTCTATCTACTGAATTTTTGCCTATTTTAACTCACTTCCTCCATTAAGCTATCATATTATGTCACAGTATTGCTACTCTTGTCACATATACATTCTCAAATATCAATGAACTTGTGAGGTTGGTCTTGCTCTCTTATATCTTTGTTAGTGTTTCAGATAAGCATGTTCCAGGTGGTCCTCTAATTCAAGTTGACCAAGAGACACAAGACATACTAGTAGAAATGAGCACAATCTATATCATAGAACCAAGCCAAGATTGTGGTCTAGCCAAACATCATCCTATCTAATAAAAGAGTAATATGCAAATTAACCCTGATTCTGTCACAAAGATGGCGGCGGCCATGGAGCTGGAGTGAGCAGGAGGCTTAGGTTGCCCCGGCGATGGAGGAAGCCAAGCTTCCCACCTTCCCTGCCAGCCCTGAGCTCTGCTCAAGGCTACAAAGTTTCAATTATAGAAGTTAAATAAATCCCAGATACCTGCTTCCAGCCCACTGCCGTGGCCAACCTGCAAACGGCCATCAGCCCCTCACCCAGGCTGGCCAGGCACCCCAGTGGGGACCCCCATCCTGAAGGGGGTGTGGCCAGCCTGAAAACTCCCCTCAGCCCCTCACCCAGGCTGGCCACACCCCCATGGGATGAGGGTCCCCACTGGGGGGCTTGACCAGCCTGCAAACAGCCATCAGCCCCTCACCCAGGCTGGCCAGGTACCCTAGCGGGACCCCAACCTTGATCCAGGACACCCTTCAGGGCAAGCCAGCCAGCCCCCACCCGTGCACCAGGCCCCTATCCTATATAATAAAAGGGTAATATGCAAATTACCAGAACGACTGGGAATGACTGGTCACTATGACACACACTGACCACCAGGGGGCAGATGTTCAATGCAGGAGATGCCCCCTGGTGGTCAGTGCACTCCCACAGGGGAAGCTCTGCTCAGCCACAAGCCAGGCTGATGGCTGCCAGCACAGCGGTGGTGGCGGGATCCTCTCCTGCCTCCTCAGCAGCACTAAGGATGTCCGACTGCAGCTTAGGCCTGCTCCCTGCTGGCTAGTGGACATCCACCGAGGGCTCCCGGGCTGCCAGAGGGATGTCTGACTGCCAGCTTAGGCCCGATCCCTCAGTGGACATCCCCCGAGGGGTCCCAGACTGCAAGAGGCTACAGGCCGGGCTGAGGGACCCCCCGAGTGCACAAATTTTTGTGCACTGGGCCTCTAGTTAACCCATAAATATAGGTGTGAGAATAAATAATTTGTTGTGGCACTGAGTGTGGAGTGGATAATGCTAAACATAGTACATTTGACTGACATGCAACACACTGTACAAAACTTGATTTAAATAAATCACAAGTGCAACCACAATAATGATCATTGTGCTCCTTTTAAACTTTCCTTTCCTTTTTTATGCAAAATGGTATCAGAAAAAAAATATCATAAGACCCTCAGGTTTTTTTAATGTCAGAAACTAGTGATTCAAAAACTAGAACCTCAATGTAGCTGTTATGTAAGTCATGCATTCTGAAAAAGGCAATAACTAATGAATGACATTGCAGAGCACATGGAGTGTACAGTATGCTTCTCCTTTAAGATACTCATGTGGAAAAAAAATGGAAATTCAATTTTAACTGCATTTTGAAGTTGTATGAAATCCTCACAACAAAAATAATGAAAGCTACTGTTTACTTACCACCTAGTATACCAGATAACAGGATGCAATGATAGATAATTGTAACACATGATTCTTTTAAATTTAAATTATAAATTAGACCTATGAAATATGTATTATTTTCCTCAAAGAGTTTAAATTTTGTCCTAGGTCATCGACTTAGTACAGGTAAGAGCCCAGGTGCAAACAGATATATATATACCGACTCCAAAAACCATCCTTTCCCACTGTGCCATGGTGAGAAGGAAATTGAATTTATTTAGACTTAGGTAAAGTGTTGTCAAAACTAACCTCACATAACTTTTTTAAAAGTAAATTGTGTCAATATTTAATATTTAACTTTGGTTAAACCTGTACTGAGTATGTACAGCACACCTGTTTAACTAGAAGTCACTTTTTCAGCAATCTCTGAGGTTTTTATGAATTCATTCATCTACACATTTATTAATGAGGTCATTATCCTGAGCATGTTTCACATACTATTCCAGAAACTTGGAGATAAAAATAAGAACCCATAGTCCCAACTGTAGGGAATTCATCATCTAATTGGAAGAGAGACATGCAAACAAATAATAACACAAACTCAACAGTAATTAGAAAAATGCTAATTAACCAAATTTATACCCATGAGATTGGCAAAAAATTATAATTCTGAATAATGCTAAGTGTCGGCAGGGATATGGGAAGCCCAAAGGTGGGATCGTGATGTGTCTAATGAAGAGTTTTGTTGTAGATATGTTAATTTTGAAATGTCCGTGTGAAATCCAAGTTGAGACACCAGTAGGAAATTAGATGTAACAAGATTGGAGCTAGAAGAGAGCTACCAATGGAAGTATAACTCTAGGAGTTTTCCATAGTTTTAGCCAGGGAAGCCAAAACAAAACAAAAACAGACAAACAAACAAACAAAAAACTAAACTAAAAGGTCTTTGAGCAGAGAAGTTTCACATTTTGGGCACGAGTTCCACGCTTGTAGTGAAGACTAGGTGAGTCATGTTTATCACGGGTTATTACTTTGCCAACCTAAAGAAGGGAATGTGGTTAATGAGGCCAAGTTCTGGGTGGGAATCTGCACATGAGAGATGGACCTTTCAGCTGACCCGCTCTCAGACTGTCCCTGGATGGCAGCTTTTCCTTTCTTTGGATTATGAACTGCTATGAGAACTTCATGAAAGCCATAAATCCTTCCAAAAGAAAAGCAGAAACACATTTCAGAGTGTTATGTTATCTTTTGATGGACCCCAGGTTAAAAATACCTGGAGAGATTGATTATTTTTTATTCTTTTCTCTTTCATTTTTTTCCCTTTTCATCTAATCAGGCTGGTCCATAATCAATCAACTAGAGGTAATGGACTTCATTGTAGGTGGTAGGGAAGGTGATCTTGGCATTAAAGCTGATTCCACTGTGGCATGAGCTCACAGCCATCCTAGACTGTCTCACTAGGCTTGGAGTAAAAAGGGAGAACTAATTGATCCTTGTCTTTTTCCTGGAAATGGATATACAGGAGTCCTAAATTCATTTATGTTTTCATTTTCTTGTCTTTGTGTCTGTATGATGTGTTAGGCTGCTATTTACAAAGCTAAACAATCTTCCAGACTCCATTTCAGAGGTCAAGTGGCATAGTAATATTGACAAAGAAACTGAACATGTTTCTCCTGGAGAAGAACTAAACTCCTCTGGAGAAATAGTACATGGTATATTTAATCCTATGGGTAGAGTGATTGCCATTTCAAGTAATCTACACTAATAAAAGAGAAACATGCAAATTGGTGTCACTCCGCTACGCCCACAAGTCAATCAGAGCAACTATGCAAATTAACCCAACGAAGATGGTGGTTAATTTGCATATGCAGGCACGGAGCAAAGACTGAAGGCTCCGGCCAGAGTGAAGACTGAAGACTGAAGAGGCTTGGCTTCTCTGCTACAACTGCAGCAAAGAAGCCAAGCCTTGCTGTGGCCGCAGCAAAGGCCTGGGTCCAGGTTGCTGGAGGAAAACCGGTGCCAGCAGCCAGGGGAAGGAAGAAGGAAGGCCTATTGGGCGAATCTTCATGCAACGGGCTTCTAGTCCTATATAATAAAAGGCTAATATGCAAACGGTCCCCTCAAGCGAGAGTTCGACCTGGAGTTTAACCAGGGGGTGGGGCCAGCCGGCCAACTGCCTGTGGCCCCTCCCCCCAGCCCCATCGGGGCGGGCTGGCCGGACCCCACTGGTGCACAAATTCATACACCGGGCCTCTAGTGAGACAATAAAAATAATACTGAAGCCTTGGTCATGAATGGTGAAAACTCTACATAAAAAAAATACTTTCCTCCTTCATAAAATTATGAAAATGAATGATAGGAAAGGACATTTAGTCCAATGAACTTGTTGCCAACCCTTTACTATTATTTTAACTGCTATATTCCAATTCAATTTTTTTAAAATATATTTTATTGATTTTTTACAGAGAGGAAGGGAGAGAGATAGAGAGTTAGAAACATCGATGAGAGAGAAACATCGATCAGCTGCCTCCTGCACACCTCCTACTGGGAATGTGCCTGCAACCCAGGTACATGCCCTTGACTGGAATCGAACCTGGGACCTTTCAGTCCGCAGGCTGATGCTCTATCCACTGAGCCAAACCGGTTTCAGCTCCAATTCAATTTTAAGTCTAAAATAATAGCATTCCAAATTTCCCCCCTCAGAGTGTGTGTGTGTGTGTGGGGGGGGGAGCATTTACTTCTCATATTAACTTAAAAATATATCTAGCAGACATGTTACCTTCATTTATCTATGAAAAACTGGACACAATAGAGTGGAACTGGCACTAGATGGAAATCTGAATGTCTGCCATCCAATGCTACTCCAGGTAACAGCTGTGTATCTCGGAGCAAGTCCCTATACCTCTCCTATTTTCTGATTTGTAAACTGAGGAC